AATCATGAAAATTTATCTTTCCCTTGTTAAATATTAAGGAAAAATATTTTCTGGGTGTTAAAAAATCCCACTTTACTAATAGAGGTTTAATTAGAGGCTGCATGGATATATATAAAATTTATTAGTACATGTTTTTGTATTAAATTGATTGAATGATTTTTGTTTTTCATTACTTAGAGTTTTGACATTGTAATTTGTCTAGTAATTGTAAAGGATCAATATACTTTCCCCTTGAAAATATTTTTTGTTAACAATAACTGGGCCAATTGTGTTAGGTTCATCCTACACTGCCATCTCGCAAAAATCAATTCCATTTTTTTTTGTTTTGTATTAAATATTTAGCAAATCTTTTATCATATTTGTAGGTAAATGCAATTTGAAGTGAACCTTTTATATCGAGCAACAGATGTTTCATTATTTTAACAATTAGAAATTTGAAGACATCGACATTAAATAAGCAATATAGAAATTTGCTTTTATCATGAATATTTATTGATTAGCAGCCATTTTTTGGAGAATAAAACAATGTTCTGTAAAATTTTAAACATGCAGAGTTTTGTGAAATTGAATGACAAAAAAAGGGAAAGAATCCTATGTATCATGTTTTGTTCTTCAAAAGGATTTCTTCAGTCGAATGTTTTTATCGATGGAATCCTATATATGTAGAGGGAGGGGATGAATTGGATTTAATTAAACATTGAGAAAAATGCTGAAAATGCAGGGGAGCTTAAATTTAAATTAAAAATTTTAATTTCTGGCATCTGATGTGTCTAGATGTACAGCCTAGCTGATTTCATTCAGCTTTTTACCACTTTTGTTTGTTCTTTTTACTGCTGCTGTTTTTAATTATAGAAAATTTTGAGAAAGTGTTAAGTGAATTTGGTGAAATAGTAATTGTGTTTAAAAGGCCTAGTAGTACAGAATTAGTTGAAACAAGATGAGCAACAACTGAACAGTACTAAATAAGAACAAAACAAGATATCCCTAGACAACTTGTACATTAAATAATAGTTTTGGTTCAAAATTCCCTGAAGGTTCAATATTTAACATGGCATACAGACGAAAAGGGTTAAAAAACGATTTTTTTTTTTTTTTTTTTTTTTTTTTATCAGAAAGACTCATTTTCCCAGGATATTGAGAACAGGTGTATGAATTCTGTGGAAAAAATACACAATACAATTTTACTATTGAGTGAGACACAGCTGGCAGGTCTAGGGGCCAGAGGTTAGTCAACTGTTTAAAGGTGTCAATGTCTATGTATTAGGAAAATTAATTAATCAAAATTTCTCTGAGAAACAAAATTATCATTGTGAAGACAGAATGAGCAATTGAGGGAGACATCTTATAATGGCTCCTCCTGAGGGAGGGCGGGGATCTTCCAAAATTGGAAGTATGAAACAGAAAATGAAAGGAGACTGGTTGAATTTTAGGAGATTTGCATAAAACCTCCTTATCTGCCTGCACCATACCAGTTGGAAGGGACACCCATAAATACAAGTGCCCGCAGGGGCTGAAGTAGTTGAAGTTGTGGCCCAGAGTTGCAGTGAGTTACACAGACGGGGAGGTAAGAGATTTTTTTGCCATTATGCTGTTTTGCCAAACTGATGATAATAATAATAATAATAATTATCTGCTGAAGAAGAAAGACTCTGACAATATCCATGTGCTGTCCTTGAAAATACAATCAACAGTATTTGAAGTTAAATCCAATTGTCGCTGAAGAAAAACTCCAACGGTATCCTTGTGCTGTCTTTGAAAGTACAATCAACAGTACTTGAAGATAAATCCAGTTGTCAAGAGAAGTTAGTCGAAATTTTCGTTGCGTCACCAAATATTAGAAACAGGTTGGGAAAAGAAGAAAAAGAACTGTAAATATTTTTTTATTTTGATATAAATATCATCTAGTGATTTATTCAGGTGTCGTCTGTTTTATTTTCAATTTTGTGTGTGTATTCAACTCCTTGGTTTATTTTGGTTGAGATACCCAAGTGATAATTCAGCTTGACCCTCTTAAGATAAAAAATCACAACGTGGGTAAGAGAGCTCATAGTTGAAGAGGTCAACTTAAAGACAAGCTGCTGTGTCAAATGCCACCAACGACCGACAAGTGTGGGCTAATAGCTTGTTCTCCAATACCAGGATCGATCTTGACCAAAGACAGCAGGCTGTGGTCTCAGCCATGCCACACAAGCACCTGAAGAAGGCTGAAGGGAACAATGGCTGAAACTTTGTGATAGTAGTCCAAATGTAAATAAGGTATTTTTGAGTTTGTTATGAACTCAAAAAAAAAAAATATATATATATATGTAATCTCATTATTTTCTTAGAGGTACAGAATTATGGAAATAAAAACAGCAAAAAAAACAGCTTTACAATTAATGATTTTGGAAAAAAAAAAAATTTGACCAGCCGTCTGCATTCACCCTCACATCAACAGAGCAATGTAAAATATGAGAAATGTGATGAAATAAAGGCAGAACACTCAGATGGAAATAATATCAAGTTCTAACAGACATTCCCCCTGTTTACTGAGGGCAGACTGTCTGGACTTGACATAGATCATTTCCAATTCTTTCAAATGTTATAAAGAATGGGCATGACTAAGGACGGAGAAAGTCAATGCTGAAATTGGTGGCACAGCTTGGATTATTTATAAGATATTCTGCAGTGGCAGAGCTATATGTATTGTTGATCATGTTGCCAGATTGGAATGTACCATTCCTAATTTTTCTGGGTACGTGTTGATTTATCCGTGCATCTAACAACATCTAATATACATACACGCCATATATTTATGCATGTAAAGTGACCTTTACATAAGACAAGGTAAAAAAAAAAAAAAAAGAATTAGCAAATTTTTGTGAATTTATCTTTTACCTGTAGTATAAGACAACTGCTTATTGACTAAATTATGTCATTGGAGATTTTACTGTATCCTTGGAAATTCAAAATAAACAGAACAACAAAACCAATTCTATATCATGTTTTTTCCTTCACATGTCCCCTAAAAGGGAAATGATTGTTTTCTTTAGTTTCATAAGATGATTTCTTGTGAATACTGATCCTTCTTCTTCTTCCTAAAAGTTTTAAATGCAACTACTGTAAAAGGATTTTAATTTGAAAAATAAAGCCTGTATTTAATTCTAAATTGTTTTATTATTTAACACCAAAATTATAATGAATTTTTAATGAGAAATAAATATTATCTTAAATGTTATTACTGCCATAATTAACACTACCATGATGATTATTGAAAGTTTAGTGAAAGATGAAGGTTGCTGTGATTGCAATCATAACTTTTTCTCAGCTGGGCTTGTGTGGATACAAGTTGATTTCATTGATATGGGAAAATTCTTGAAATAGCAATTTATTATGAAGTTATGCCAGTAATATATAAGGTAGAAATGGTTTTATTACTTTTATTATTAGCTTATTTGATAATGTGAATCTTTTCATGTACATAATTGGGTATCGCAATGAGGTTGATGTTAGCCTACCAACAAACATCACTCAGAATTTAAGGTTTCTTTTTTTAGAATTGTAGTATGACCCCCAATTTTTAAGGATGATTTTGAGGATTTAAAGGTTGTCTTATACACAGTAATATACAGTATTTGGCTTATCAAATCTCATTCTTTTGGAATGAATAAACACTAATTCTAATTATCAAATTTGAAATTCTTAACATTCTAGAGATTTTTTTTTTTTAAAAGAGTATAAATATGAGATTTTATAGAAAATTCAATAGACTTATAAAACATCAAGCCCTGATGAGCAGTTTGACACAAATGTCTTGAGTCGGCTAACCAAATAAGTCACTTTAACTTGATTTAGTAAACACTAGCAGTATAACCTGTTTTTGACCGAGTCTTTCATTACAGGGAATTTTGGAGCAGTTTAAGTTTAAAGTCAGCCCACCTGAAAATCAATATTGGTAATAGCATTTGGGTGCAACTGAGGCCCATCCCCAAATGGGTGGGGGGTAACAATTTGAATGTGGGTGGCTCTGAAAAGTATAATAATAAATAATATTATTGTAATAATTTAAACTATTTTTTTATAAAAGTTTTTATGAAAGATATATATCCAAGAACAGATAGTAAAATGTTGCTAACAGTTATAATGGACAGGAAGTAGTGGAGAGCCATTGTTGCAAACATTTTGGACTCAAAACTGGAACTGAAGAATTATCTACCAAATAAAAAAAAATTTAATCAAAATCTGATGAAAAACTGGAAATGTATAAACAACATCCAATCTCACACACACACATTTTGAGAATTATAGATTATATCTCTAGTTTTCTATTTGGCAGAAGTTCTGCTAGCTTGAAAAAAAAAGTTAAATTCTTATAATATTCAGATATTTTTATCAATTGTATTATAATTACTATTAATATAAATATGTATAAATATATTTTTCTCATTAGTTCATGTGATATAAACAATGACTTGACTTGTGTAAGCCAGTGATCTTTAATTTTTATAATACTATTGATGTCCTGTATTTTCTTTTACAGTATGTGTACAGAAAGGCATCCAGTTCTGGATCTTTACAGGATCTTAAAATTCCAGAGACTATATCACTTTATGAAAGCATGGATGTGTCCTTCAATGCTCTGACAGAGCTTCCATATGAACTGCCTTTCCGATTACCACATCTCTCTCACTTAGATCTGAGTCATAATGGATTAACATCATTGCCAGACAGCATTGGACTTTTCATCCATCTAGAGACGTTAATAGTTCGGCACAATTATCTTCAAAAGATTCCTTTAAGTGTTACTCAACTTCACAAATTGAGCAAAGTTGATTTCTCACATAATCACCTTATCCAAGTTCCTGATGGATTTGGAGAACTCAAATACCTCTGTAAACTGAATGTTTCTTATAATAAACTTAGGGAATTACCATTATCACTAGCCATGTGCCCCTCTTTGACTTTGCTACTAGCCACAGAAAACTTATTGGAAACTCCACCGCAATCTCTTTGTGATAAAGGCTCTAAACCTCTTTTGGATTATATTCAGAAGAAATACCGATCTGTAAAAGAGGATTCTGTACCATTCAAAGCAGATCACCGATTCTCAAGACAGAGATGGAATCAACTGCCAACAAATGTTCCTAACCCACATTCTCCACAGGTAAACAATCTATTAAATTTTCTGCTTGTAGCATTTGGGTTTTATAAGTAAGTTGCTGTATTCTGATGCTTCTGCTATATATATTTTGTGATAAAATCCAAAGAAGAATCTGAAATGTTATCAGTCTTGACCTAACATCTTGGATTCAATCACTTCTTCATTATTGTAATATAGCTTTTCTGTGCCTTTTTCTATAAATATTTTCATGACAATTGTTCTGATGGGCTTTACCTCAACTTCATGAATTTAAGCGTAGTACTTGGTTGGCAGCTAGGTCTCCTTGTTTTACTATTGAAATCACTGGATGTAACTGTAAGTTCTATTCTAATAGTTTCTTCTCTTGCACTTCTCAATTTTGGAGTTCTTTGAAGCTTTCCTGTCAGCTACAATCTTCAAAATTTCAAATGTAATGTCAAGCACCATTGTCTGTCCTTTTTTAATCTTTTTTTTTTTTCTGTCCTTACTAATGTCTTTTTCATTTTCTTTGACTCTCAGTAAACTCTTGTGTCTTTGTGGCTTTAAAACCTTGTTTGGGGTGAAATAATGATTAAAGAAAAAGTATTTTATACCAAATAACACCTTTTCTATCTTGTTTTGTTTAATTCTTTTCTATTTTCTCAACAAATTCAAAACTTTTTTTTTATTTTTTTTTATTTTGGAGTGATCCCCTCTGCCCCATGCCAAAATCATCATCATCATCATCATCTTATCTCTTATATACTGATTTGAAACCTTCCATACACTAATTTTAGAAATGCTAACTCCCAACTGTCTATAATTTTATGTAAGGCTGTCACTTCTCTCTTGTACATGAGTGTGTGGGTGGGAGGTCAACTTTGATTTCTTGTCTTTATTTTATCATCATTCATCTGAATGTGGTTGTAGGGTTGCTGCACACCTGAGACACCTGACCTGCTCCTCCATATATTCAGAAAGCTAGCCCGGTATTCATTCACATATTGCATGTCTTGAGCAAGCAGACTTGGCAGAGCCTATCCTTCTTTAGATCATGTCCTCTAACTTGAAGGCTCACCTTGGTCATGGATATGTAGCTGTTGAATACTATTGAATACAGCACCCTCTGCCTTAGCTGTTGACTTCAGTTTAGGGACCCCTCTGTTCAATGATGCTGTGTAATCATTGCATTGGCTGTATCCCTAGCTATGGAACCCTTTGTACTAGATGGCCATTGACCCTCCAAGAAGGTTTATTCACCCTTTGTCAGGTATTGTTTTTAATCTTGCTGGGTCTCTAGCCACCCTCTTCACAAATGGCACAACTAGTATAGTACTAGGTTACCTGTAGCACTTGTAGAGGCACCTGACATAAATTGTATTATTTTATTTTTTTTATGATATCCAATCATTAAGACCCCTTCCTACAATTTTAAGTTTTTATACTTCATGCCACTTGGGTGTTAAAATAGAAGCTCATAGTGGCTGCAATTTATTTTGACACCCATCTGATATGTCCTGGAAAGGGATATATTTGTTTGAAGTAGCAAAGTGGTTGTTTACTACTGTAACCAGGTAAGACAATCTAGCAGGTAACCATAATGGACTGGTCCTTGTCGTAGTGGTAGGCAATAGGTGTAGGCAATAGGTGAAGACAATAGGTGTAGTCCATGTACCTCCACATCAGTCTGTGTTTATGGCTGACACCGGCCAATCATATTACTGTGAGGGGGAACCCAGGTGTATGCAAATTCATTACATCACCATCAAACAAGAGTTTGCAAGAAAATCTCTACTATCACCCCTTGTTATTTGCCTTCCCCTTACCCCCAGTTTATTAAGAACTGGTGAGTACTGTTATTGTTAGGTTTAGGGTCATTGTTTGAAACTAATAGAGCATTGGTGTTGAACAAAAAACTCAAAATGTTGAATTTGTTAAGAAAATAAACAAAATAAGATAGAAATTTTTATTCAATTGGGAGCATTTTTGTGTAGAGAAAATTTCCAGGAATGTACCTGAAAGAAAGTGTGAATTCCGGTAATGTTATTAAGAGTCTCTCTATAAAAAAAGGATGTAGAAAAAGTTGAACTTACTCTGTTGGTGAATTAAAAAGTGAGTGGAGTGTATTGTCTGTCATGTGCATCCATTGCACAGAGCGCTAATTTTACCATCCTGTCCCAATCTTGGCCCAAATTGAAAGAGAGCTAGCTTCTTCACATTCACATCATGCATATTCCCAGTTTTTTCATTTTATGCATACCCAAAATCTGAAAAGGGGTTAATGCTATTGATAGTTATCAATGCATGTGTGTTTTGTGAAAAGACTTAATGTCTGTTGCAGTAATTAGTCTGATTCCATAATATTACTTACTCAAATTATTGTCATTGTACTTGTCCCTCCCTTCGTTAGTTTGCATGACTGTTACATTTTGCCAATACCTCATAAATAATGGATTATTCCATTTGGATCATGTGGAAAGACAAAAAACACTACTTGGTTTCAGTGGCAAAAAGAAAGAGAAGTGGTTATCGTCTCCTGATAAATAATGGACTATTCCATTTTGATTGCATGAGAAGACAAAAGACATCAAAGATGCTATTTAGTTTCAATCAGAAAATGAAAGAAGGGAAGATAAACGTGTTTAATGGCTGTCTCAGTGAAATGGAAGAAGTTGTCAATTTCAAATCTTTTCATTTCTTAAAATAATGACCAGCCTTCATATTTATGATTTCTATTGCAGTATTTTGATAGTTGTTAAGCTCAAATATTTAATGATGCAAAAGGGGAAATTTTATGGATATTTTATTGTTGTAGAACTTGCCATGAGCTTACTCAGTCATTAACTGAAGAATTAAGATCCATCAGAAATTTAAAATAGGAAAACTGTGAAATTTTCACAGGTTAAAACTAATTATTACTAACACCACCACCTTTACTTTAAAAGGAATTACCTTAACAAAAGTACTGGCAATGATTATTGGTACCAGCTGATCCATCATATCTAAATAGGCCTTAACACATTCCTATCATTAACTAACTGGAAAATATAGAAGAAAGAGACATGGTTGAAAGAAAATTCTTGTAACACTCACTTGGGAAACGTGTACATGATTTTAAGTCAATTTTGCCTGCAGAGACAATGGTATTTAACACTAACATGGGAAACCTTAAATAAAGCCTGTAGAGAAAGATGTCAGTCATACAAAGAAAAATAACTGAAGATGTGGGTGTGTTTTTACATGTGGTGAATGCATCCAGTAGGGATGCTTGGTATTTGTAGATTCTATAGAGAATGGTTGAGTGAACAGAATTTTTACTCTGCTAGAATGTGGCTGCAAGAGATGAGTTTAAAAATTACAATTGACAGACTATACTTATGGCAGTAGCAACAAGAGAAAAGGTTTTTAACCCACACCATTGACTGAATAAAATATGTGTCTGGTAATATCAAGATAATTAATGATGACTAACAAAAATATAAATATAATCTTTGTTGGCCGTCTATGCATCGTTCTGGTCTTGGGGATGTCATAAAAAGGTGGGTGTTAGATTAGAAGAAATCAGGGAGAGGTTTAAAGAAAAAGGAAAAGATTCAGAGCATTGGAGGATCGGAAGGTTGGTGTTACTGGTTTATGAAATGGCAGGGATTATTAATTTGGGTAAAGATACTTCTCAAAAAAAATTCCAGATAATTATGAAGAAAAAGTGTTGGTATTTATAGATCTTACTTATTATAAAACGCAGATTGTGTGTGTGTGTGTGTGTGTGTGTGTACGTTTATATATTGGATCGGATTTCCTACATTTTTCAACCGATTTCAACAAAACTTCACAGGACTACGTAAAATTACCTTTTGCGGTGGTTCTGACATTGCCAAAAATTGGAAAAACAATTGTTTTTGCACGAAATCAATTTGAAAACATGATTAAGAGGCATTAATGAAAGGGGGACACCTCATATCAAGTTATACTTATTAATATCGAGTTATACTTATTATAAAACCCAGGTTGGTTGTTTGTTTGTGTGTGTTTATATATGGGATTGGATTTCCTACATTTTTCAACTGATTTCAACAAAACTTCACGGGGGGGGGGTAGTGTTTCTTATTGTCTTGCACACTTTTTTCTTTATTTTTACATTCAGAATGCTTTAAAAATTCCATTTACAAGACAATTGTTTATAATAAAATTCTATTCAATCGGTAGACTCATAACGATTGAAAACAATGTTTTTGTTTGAGTTTGGGTTTGACCAATTCGTAAAAAAAACAAAAAACCAAAAAAAACTAATTAAGACGTTTATGTCCATCAACCTTAAACAATAATTTTTGTCAATTTTAATTTTCAGTCTTTATGATGGTCAATACTTGATCTATCTCTTACTGTTACATCCCCGGGCAACGCTGTACTCTACTGCTAGTATCTTATAAAAGCATGAAAGGAAATTTGTTTTAAACTGGACCAGATAAGGAACATGGATGAACTAAAATTTGATGTATCATCCAACAATGCATTAAAAAAAACATAATTGCTGAATATGCCTTCCTGAAATGGAGGTGGGTCTGATGAATATTTTATGCTGTCAGGTGGAAGACTGATTGGAAGCTACCTTCAATATTTTGGTCAATTCTGTCGCTTAATCTTGAGAGGGTCTTGCATGCTATCCAATTTAAGCACCCCGATTTCACCTCAGATTGCAAACCATTGTCAAAATCACTGCTGATGTGTTCTTTGATTTAATTAACGACACACTAAACTCACTGAAGTTAAGCAGCATTGAGTCTAGTCAGTACTTAGATGGAGGACAACTTGTGAACACCATATTATTATGTACTGTAAGCAACCTTATACAATACCAAATGTTTTAGCTTTATATAACTGGCAAAGAATTGATAAAGCCTAAAAATACAAATCAATCAATCTCTTAATGATCTTTTTATTAGACAGATATTTACTAAATGATAAACTGATGAACAAAACCTTTAGCAAGTGATGTCCCCTTTATGAAATGGAATATTGGCTTAAGAGAATTTTTGAGCATTGTT